AACACCACAACAAAATAAAGCTCATTTGGGCATAAAACAAGAAAACGTGTCCCAGTCATTGTCCGTGGAGCAGCTCCAGACTTTATACTTGATGACACAGTTTGTTACTTGCTTCTCTGGTTTCTGGCTCTGAGAGAGAGTAGCTTGTCTTCACAAATGTTGACTGAGCTTTGCTAGACCAGTGGTTCCCAACTGGTTGGTTGTGGCCCAAAAATGGGTTGCAGGTCCATTCTGAATGGACCGCAGGTGCCTCACGAACATGTTAAGTTTGTAAAAAAAAACAAAACACAAGTATGATGCTGAATATATCAAACTGTGTGGACCTTGAACTAAAGACTAAGGAGAAATCTGGACCCTGTGGCTGGATGAGTTGGCAACTATCCTAGGAAAAAATGTGGTGTGTGTCCTTTAAAATTACAAGTGTTTTCCATTTTTGTTTGTTGTGAAATAAATATCCCCAGGGGCCTCAAAGTGGGACCCCACCCACCTTACAACAAGAACAACAAAACACGTCTCTGGATAGAAAATAAAAATATCACTAACTGCGGTGTGTATGAGGATTTAAAATATATTTAGTGTTGAAATAAAATGTAATAGAATACAGATTACTAGTTACCTGTTGAAAATGTAATCCATAATTAAACTATTTTAATTACTTCATCAAAGTAATGTAACTTATTACACTTTATTACTTTTGTATTATTTTTCTAACAAATGTTTTAAACTGGGCACTGAAGCTGAACTGAATTCCTGAGATCCCTATCTCGTAATTACGTGTTTTTTTTTATTTAGTGAATGCAATCCACTTCTGTAAAAATATATAAAGCAACAATGAATGTTTTACTCTACAAATGAACTTTTACTGAAAGTATATGATCAAATTTAAACCCCTTTTGTTATCACCAATATTCTGATTCGTAACTGTAATTTAATTGCAGATCTGTTCTCGGTTACTGCAAAATTTATTTTGCCTTGTAAAGGTGCAAATTGAATCAAGAAATATAAAATAGATTAACAAAAAAGATGGGGTAGACGATTAGGTGGCAAATGTTTGTAAGGAACTTGAAGTAATCTGTCAAAGCTGAAAATAGCAGAGCTGCCATTCACTGAAACTCTCATCTTTTCTAACTGAAGAAAAGACATAACATCTCTAAGCCACTGGGAAATAAATGGTGCATAGAGGTAAAATACACTGTCTCGCCAAAAGAGAGGTCAAGGCTAATATGTCTGACTGTGAAGAATTAAACTGGGAGGAATCAACAGAGACTCCAAATATCGCTATAAAGGGGCAAATGTTAATATTAGTTCCCAAATGCTTTGTCAAGATCATAAAATAATCACTCCTGGGACAAAAGAAAAACATGGATGAGGTTAAAAGAGGAAGTGTGACATCTCTTACACTCATCTACAACATTTGACACTGAATTTTTTTCCCATTCTATATTTCATTTGTCGTGTCTCTGCACCAAATCATGTCAATCAATGTTTGGCATTAAAGTGGGTTCTGATTGAGTCTTCCCAGTAAAGGCCAGTCTGAATGCAGCTATTCACTGGTTTAAAAAGAGGCAGGTGTCAGTCAGGTTTAATCTGTGATACTCACCCAGCAGTGAGGAGATGACGAAGATGTTCATTTTGCCAGATGCCCAAAATCAAATATGCAGCTCCTCTTTGATTTCTTAAAAAAAAGAGAGAGAAATGACAATAAATGTGATTTTAAGATTTCTAACACTTAAAATGACGTATGTTTCAGACGTCCATTGTTAGTTGGTAGCCAGAGCCTTTTTTATTTTCGTAGCTATGAGCCCGAGAATAATAGTCTCTCTCAGGAGGAGTTTCAACTGGCTGTCACAGTAAACCACAGACAGAGATGGTCATCTTGGTGGAGACATTTCCTTCCTCTGTCAAGCAGTTAACAGGCGGAGCCGTCAGATGGCAGAATCCAGGCTGAGTAGTAAAGATCCCAAACCACAATACAACCAATTTACTATCAACAAGCAGTTCTACAGTCACCCTGTAAAATCTCTGCCTCTTTGATGTCACTGTAATCAGCATTCATCATGTGTTGCACATGTAAAAGTATCTTTTTCGCACAATTTTATTATTTTCCTTTAGTCTCAAATTATGCTGCTGATGTTATGCACATCCTGCAAATGCTGAAATCAGTTTCTCCTCTCCACAGTTTTATTTGTATATCTCTTTTATTGGGGTCGTTGGTTGTTTTCTGTTATACCTTGTTTGCTCTATTTATATCCTACTTTTCTTTCCAGTACTCGCTGACGTTGATGCTTATTTCTCTCTTTGGGGAGCTTTTCATTTTATTCAGTTTAATCCAATCAGTTAGAATCAGATAAAGTTTTGGTAAATTAAATGAGGGGAATAATAACCCCCAGTCAATTATTTTTTATTTCAGCCATGCTAGCGGCCCGTCTCTATGGATCCCAACGCCTGCCTGTCTGTCCACCACTTTGAGTCAGACTAAATTATCTCATCTACTATTGAATGGATTGCCATGAAATTTCATACAGACGTTCATAGTTCCCAGAGGATGAATCCTAATGACTTTGGTGATCCTCTGACTTTTCTTCTAACGCCATCAGTTTTCACTCATACTGTATAATATTTTCCATGGATGGATTGGAACCAAGCGGCAGCTTCAGGGGCTGAAAAATGAAGCCAACGTGGAAGTGCCAAAAACTGCAGTTCCTCTAATGGCCACCTGAGGCTGGATCCAAAACAGGGTCATCCCCAGAGACCCCCATGTCAAGATAGCCAGTTGACAGCTGAAATAAACACATTTACAGCCTGGTGCAAAAATTGGTTTCGGTCTCTAACTAATTTCCTTGTTCATGACAACTTTACATGTTGTGGAAGTTCAACTTAGGACCCAAATGCAAACCGTTTGAGGCAGTTTATTGTAGTTTGAAGAAGTGGAGTTGAAGGCTGGTATAAAATGATGGCTGAGATGGGCAAGGAATGGCAAAGCAGAGCATGCAGATAGCTGGAGGCAAAGCAGTCTAAATCCCGAGGCAGGAGATGAGAACAAGGCTGGACGTGGTGGGTTATGATTTAGGCTGGGGTGGTGAATCTGAGACACAGAACAAAGTGTGAATTGATGTCCAAAAAGTATAAAAATAAGTCCAAAAACTAGAAGTTGGCCTTGATGCCTGCACTGCAGAGGAGACAGAACGATCTGGCAGAGTCTGGATGTCTGAGCCAGGGTTTTATTCTGCAGTGACTTGATTGTAGATGAGGTTCAGGTGTGCAGGTTCAGCAGCTGCTGACACCCAGAAGGATTGCCAGGAGGAAGGGACCAGAGGGCCACGCCCAGCAAACACACAGACACTGTGCGCTCCAATACCTATTCTACCATTTAGTATGTCCCTACATATAGTATGTCAAATGCAGTGTGCCAAAATACCAGGATGTTCTACTACATCCAGTCCAATTTTGCAATGTGCAAGCCAGCATGCTTTTCTGGCTGTTCTGACCCACAATCCTCTGCACAGCTGACGATTCTTTGACTGAGCCGCAGATGACAGCTTGACAGCTGATTGACAGCTGTCAGAAGCCCCAGTGATGGATGACAAAGCATTCAAGTAACTGATGACCAGTCAGATTGTAATTATAGGAATATTAATTGTTTAGGTAAAAAAAAAAAACATAAATATTACAAACAACAACAGTTTGTTTGTGATATTTCACAAAGTTTGTTCGTTTCACCCTTCCTGTGTGCCAGCCAGCTGAAATTATGTTTGAACAGAGATTGAATCTGATATGTTTTAAAAACAGAGGGCGATTGGGGCAAGAAAACAAAGTCTTTATAAAGGTTCCTTGAAAAGTCATAGCCTGGAAATCCAGACCCAAATCTAGAAAGATTTAGGGTCTGGCTGAGTAATGAAAATGGCCCAACTTGAGGGGCGCCACCAAGCATGCATTTGTAAATATCACTGCACACAATTGGATAACACTACGACCAATCAGAACAATACACGGGGTGACGTGAACGCTCAGCTACCAGCGGAGCTAACTGGCAGATTAGACTCTTGCCGTATCCGGTCGGCAAAACAACAAAAACGTCCTTCTTGCAAAGGAAAGACTCAAGCGCCGTCTTCTGTTCCTCTTTTAGAGAAAAAGCCAAATCTAACTCGTTCATTGTAGCGGCCAAAGCCGTTTCAAACAACTGGTGTTCATCCGTAGCCATCTTGAAATGTTTACTGACTGATTCCGGACTTCGTCGTCGCAGCGCTGTCGTCATCTGTTTAGCTAGCCTCTGGCCCGCCTATATCAGATACACCAATGTGATTGGTGCAGCTCGGCTCCAACGGCATGGGTAATGAGCTTCATTACTGATTGCTAGAGTGACTCGCTGAGCAAATTCAAATTGTGCTCTCGCGAGAACTCTGGATTTCCAGGGTAGCAAGTCACTGCCAAAGCGCCGGATTTCGACGACTTCAGAGTGAGACTGTGCCCCGGTGGAATACCAAAATCAGGTTTAGGCTAGTTTTACCTACAGAAAGTACAGAAAGGGAAAACAAATGTGAGTTCAGTCGGACTTGTTAGCATTGTGACTGTGAGCTCAAATCATAGTACAGCTCATAGACAGTGTAATGAAGATATTTATATCAGCCTAGAGTGTTTGGTCCTCACAGCTGCTAGCATGACTGTGAAGTCTTGTTTTACCTTTTTTTTCATGAAGAACAACAGCAGCTCCCGGAAGACTGCAAGAAAACAATTATTGCTTATTATAATTTTTTACACACTAGTAAAGGGAAATAGCCTCAGTCTAGTTTGGGTTTTTGCTTCTTCTTGAACTTTTTGCAGCCAAACCACGGCGTAATTCCAGTGAATTTCTAACTTGTGTGTTCACCAGGTAACTACAGCTACCTCATTATCCCTCCATGGTCCCCGCCCTCTCCTCATCATCCCTCCCTCCACCTCTCTGCCCCTCCCTCCACCTCCCGTCGCTCCCACATCCAGACTCCCAACATCCACAGGGTTTCTTCCAGGAAGCGCGTCGGGCAGTCGGATGCTCTGCTGGAATGCCTGGGAGAGAGACCATCCTTTTTGTCCATTTCTGAGAGAGAGAGAGAGAGCCAGTGGGGAGGAGGTGGAGGAGAAGAGGAGGAGGAGAGGAGGAGGAGGAGGGGTGGCGATAGGAGAGAGGAACAGACATGGCTTCTAAAGAGATCACTGCCTCTGGTTTCGTAAGTGTGAGCAAGGATATCACAGGTGGGTAAAGACAGCCGCTCGGTTATTGTGCTCCGTGTTGTGTCTTGCTGCGGGTTATAACCGCGGTCACCCCCCGGCGTGTCTGCGTTCAGGCTCGGGATGCTTTTCCTCCGCGCGTCTGGCGGAGGCTGCGACCGAACAGACGCATTGGATGATAGTCATGAGCTACACCTTTACATTCCGTCCTGAAGCTTTCCGGGGCGTCTTTTTCCTCCTCAGTGCATGTGAATCAGTTAATGTGCAGATGAATTATTTACAGTGCAGGGAAATATACCTTGCTTTAAATCTGCCCCTCGGGGAGGATCAGGTAGTCTAATAAAAACCCCAGCCTTAGGCCAGAGAGGAAAAGGGGCGTTGTGGAAATAATGGTGTGTACTCGTGAGTCTGAGAGCGTTTTGTTCTGCACGGTTTTGCCAATAAACCTGCTCCAGAGCATGCTCCCCCCTCTCAACCTCAACCTAGGAGTATTTTATCTTTGTTTTTCTGCTGCCTAACCAGCTCGAGCGCTGTAGTGATTGCGCGCGTGCCTGTGTGCGTGCGAAAGTGAAAAGAGGGGGGACTGATAAAGGCAGATGTTCACTGTATCTTGCCAACAGAAATGCATAAGCTAGACAAACCCGCGACAGAATGCACAAATATTTATTGCTTTTCTCTCAAACAGCAACAGCTTACACATGTCAAAGTCACAGCACAGCCTTCAAGTGAATACGAGCGCAACGCAAACCACACGCGCACTCCACACATGCTCAGGGTAGCAGGGACTCTGCTGCTGCGTTAATTACTCCTAATGGCTCTATTAGGCGCACTGTGATGATTAATCCAGTGGAATCCCTGCCTCCTCATTCAGTCACCTGCCGGGCGGCTGCACCGCCTCCTCCTGCCCTGCCTGCACTGACTGACTGACTGACAGGAGGAGCACCGGGGGCCACCGTGGCCCTGGTGGACTAAAGGCCTGCACAAGGTCACCTGAATGAGACTTTAGTCTACATCTGTTCTCTGGATGGACTAAGATCATAGACACTCACTGATGTAGAGGTGATCAGTATGCAGAAAACTGGTGCATATTTGGTTTGAGAAAATAATTTCTGTAGTTTTTGAGGCTTGGAGTACAGACATTCAGATTATACTGCAATATGCATTTGAACAGCAGAGAGAGAAGTATCCTATCCTTTACTAAAGTAAAACTAGTAAAACTTTAATTTAAAAATGTTTAAAAGTTAAAAACTTAAAGGTCCAGTGTGTAGGTGTAAGGGGGATATACTGGTAGAAATTGGATATAATATTATAAGTGGCTAAGTTTTCTTTGTGTTTCTTCTTCTTTCTTTTTCTAATTTGGCATTGTGACCCAACATGACAGGCATTTCAGGCTCTGGAACAAATCCCATGACTTGAAATGTGGAGACAAACATCGTAATTTACTACTGAAAACAGGTGGCTCTCTACTACTCTTACAGAAATTTAAAATGATATAATAAGTATGTTTTCTTTAGTGTATAATCAACCTGAAATGAGAATCGTTGTGTTTTGTTACCTCAGAATGAGCCGTTAATCTACATAAGGAGCGGGTCCTTTTCCACAGAGACCGCCATGTTGGACTGCCATGTTTCTACAGTAGCCCAGAATGGACAAACCAAACACTGGCTCTAGATAGGGCTATTTGCATTTGCATTGGCCACCGTAGTTAGTAGCCCCTCCCTGACGAACAGCATGGGAGAAACACATATTTTTTTTTTACATGAAACTGCTTTATCCAGTGTTTTTACTGGTTTAAATCACAGTGTCCGTTTGTTTTAAAGAGGTAAAGACGTCCTCCTGAATGTCAGTGTCTTAAGTTATGAGAGAAAAAAGGTGAGCATTCATTAGCAGGTGCTGCTGTGACGAGCCAAACAGCATCAGAGAAACACTGATTCGTAACGTGGAACTGCTTTGTTCAGTCTTTTTACTGCTTTTAATCACCTGGAGGAGACCTCTGCGGATAATTCGGCTTCAGGTAAAAACCTCCTGAGCGGTGAACAGTAAAGGAATCCAAAGCAGGAGAAGATTCAGCTGGTTGCAATCTGTAATCGTCACTGATACCACTAAATCCCCCGAAAGCTCACACCTCGAACCTTGAGTGTCAAAATAAAAAAGATCAAATTTTGTAGCACAATGGACCCTGTTAGTGTCATAATATTATATTGGTTTGTTCTATAATTCTTCATTTTTTTATTAACTGATCATGTTTTCTTTAAAGTAATCATCTCTGACAGACAAATGTAGTGGAGTGAAAAGTACAATATATGATATATGAGAATTGTGTGCACCTAAAATATGGATAAACACTGCTGCACAATGAGAGGAACTTGCTTTACTATCCAGTGTGACTGTATCAACTCCGCTGACAAATCCCAGCGTCCTGGCTTTAGTATCGATTTTCTCATAAACCCGTCAGTCGGGATGCTGTGAAGCCACAGTAATGGAGAGGCTGAATCATGCAATTCCTGCCAGCGACTGTATGTTTCTGTGAGAGTGTGTCGGTGCCGTGTGTTCCCACCCTGCCAGTGAGACACTTCTTCTGGCGCAGCAGGCAGGTTGTGTGCCTGTATACGAGTCAGGGGGTCACAGCGCTGACAGTGATGCTGTTTGACAGGAACAGTTCTCAGTGAATCATAAACACTGATGCTCCGATGTGTCATGTTGCTCCTGTGAGGAAAAAAATGACACTGAAGCATATTGTGAACCATTTTGATGATGCTACAAAATAGAGCAGCTTGGTGATTGCATTGGGCTGAAGTCACTGAGGGACACGGAGGAAAACTATTGTTGTATTTCTGTGATTAATCCATGCTGTCCAGACTGCTTCCCCGTTAAATGTCAGTCGTCTTGCTTCAGTGTTACATGCAGATTGAATCATTTTGCATGAAAGAGGTTTGCATCTTGTTTCAACTCGTCGGAATACATACAGACTCAGAGATCAAACCATCAGGATACATACAGACTCAGAGCTCATTGGATTATTTTACCATCTGAAATGCCACGACAGATCTGTTCAAATGACAAGCCTGATGTGTCTTTCAGTTATTAGATGAAGACATGAATAAAGGCCTGTCCACCCAAAGGTCAGAGTCATTTAGTGCTCTGTTTGGTTTGGACTAATTTGATTTGATCTTATCTAAATGACCATACCGGTGGAAGTTTCACAGTATTTTAGGGACATCATTAAGCCTTTATTAGAGATTGGAGTGTCAGAAGATGACAGGAAACAAGGTGTTAGAGAAAGTGGGAATGATGTGCACAAAATCCGTGGCTGGTCTGAAACCAGGGACATAGCAGTCAATGGTAGAGGTGTGAGAAAATATCGATACACTCGAGTGTCACAATATTGTTTTATGATACTGTATGAATTAAATTTTTAATGAATAGTTTACATGCAAAGATTCGTAGCAGTGGTTTATTTTGTGTTGTGTTGAAAAATTCTGAATGAGTGTTAATATAGAATGTAAAGCTAAAGTAAAGATATAGTGGAGTAATGGCATCCTGAGGAGAGAATGAAGTCAGGCTATCTGTGTGTGTGTATGTGTGTGTGTGTGTGTGTGTGTGTGTGTGTGTGTGTTGTAATCCAATGTGACTGCAACTGCATTTTATTGCATGTTGGTACCGCCCACTGGCTAGCTCAACGCTGCCAGTTCGCACTGCGCTCGTATGGCGCTCATACGACGCTCATACGGCAGTTACCACTGATATGAGGACAGGGGCATTAAAGGGATAGTGCATCCAAAAATGAAAATTCAGCCATTATCTACTCATCCATATGCCGAGGGAGGCTCAGGTGAAGTTTTAGAGTCCTCACATCCCTTGCGGAGATCCAAGGGGAGAGGAGGTAGCAACACAACTCCACCTAGTGGAGGCTGACGGCGCCCCAGATTCAAACGTCCAAAAACACATAATTGAAACCACAAAATATCTCCAAACTGCTCGTCCGTAGTGATCCAAGTGTCCTGAAGCCCCGACATAAAAAGTTGTTTGGAAAAACCTCATTTGAACTCTGTTTTTAGCCTCATTGTAGCCTGTAGCTCTGACTGCCTCTCTGGGCACCGCGCTCACGTGTGTGCGCTTGCGCGAGACCGTGAGACATGGGCACCGCCTTCATGTGTGTTCACGTGCTTTCGCTGGTCTCGCGCACGTGAGCGCGGTGCCCAGAGAGGCAGTCAGAGCTACAGGCTACAATGAGGCTAAAAACAGAGTTCAAATGAGGTTTTTCCAAACAACTTTTTATGTCGGGGCTTCAGGACACTTGGATCACTACGGACGAGCAGTATGGAGATATTTTGTGGTTTCAATTATGTGTTTTTGGACGTTTGAATCTGGGGCGCCGTCAGCCTCCATTAGGTGGAGTTGTGAGGACTCTAAAACTTCACCTGAGCCTCCCTCGGCATATGGGTGAGTAGATAATGGCTGAATTTTCACTTTTGGGTGCACTATCCCTTTAAGAAAGCGTAGTGTTCCCCTTGTTAACACAGTTAGCTCTGTCAGCACTGTTGCCATTGTTCAGTGCTGTTTATGGTGTCAGCACCATTAGCTGCTAATTACTTGCTTAGCCACCTTCATGTTGAGAACTGTGTGCAGACAACTCATGGGGTGCGTTCCAAATCACATACTTTTTCTTTTTACTTTTAGTAGGTACTACAGCTGCCCTTAAAAAGTACGCACTGTTGCATGCAGAATGCACATGCAGTAGTAGGGACATACTACTTTCTCATAACACTACAACCTGAACTTTGACCCTCTTGCTTTTATATCTGTTACCTTGGAGATAATACAAAGGCCACTTACCGTTATAAGTTATAACTACACAGATTGTAAATTTCAACATATTATATTTGCGACAGTGAAATTACATCTGCAGTTCTGTCATCGTTATTTTTATAGTTATGTCCTTTTCTTGTTTGTAATGTTTACTTAATAGTTACTTGAATGTGCTGTCATTCGTCACTGAGACTTCTGACAGCTGTCAATCAGCTGTTAAACAGCTGTCAATGAGCCATCAAGCTGTTGCAGAGTGTGTGTGACTGTGACTGTGGGTCAGAACAGCCAGAAAAGCATGCTGGCTTCCAGACTGCAAAATTAGACCGGATGTAGTAGAACATCCTGGTATTTTTGGCACACTGCATTTGACATACTATGTATTGGGACATCCTAAATGTTTTCATGGAGTGGCAGTATGGGTATTGGAAGGCACAGATACACTCTCAGATACACCTCTGACCACTAGATGTAGCAGTGTTGTAATCTATCTTCAGTCATTTGACCCTCCCACTCCAGATCAGTGGGATTACTCAGAACCTGTACATACGGTGATGTGTTCTTTATACTATGACTGTTTTCCTATAATTAGATTTAAGAAATCACAATATGCCGCCTTGCTTACAGTATCACTATATATCGCAACATATTGATGGACGAAAATGACCAATCATCTTCTGTTTTTAGTGTCTGGAATTTACGGGGTCAACTTGACAAACATCCGAGTGCTCATGAATCCTTAAAGTGTCGTAACATTAAGCACTGACTGAACGAGCCAGGACCAATTAAATTGAGTCGAGACCTCCACCAGCCAAGGCCAGTGATGCATTCACACGCTCCCTCAGATGGTCATTCTTCAGACTTTGGTGTGTTCACCGTTTTCTGTAACCCTTTGAAACCTGGAGCAACATCACTTCTCTTGTGCTGCTTTCAGACGCCATTCACAAGTATTTAAACGTTTCAACTTTGAGCAATTTGGTGCAATTTCTTTCAAAAATATGGGAAAAAAGGCACTGAACAATTTGATTAAAAGTGTTCCATGAATAGCAAAAAAATAAGATTTAGCCTTTTTTTAAACTAGGAAAAACAGAAAAAAGCTAAAGAAAGTCATTTTTCTTGTTTGCTTATTTTTTTACTTTCTTTCTTTCATTTTCTTTAACTAATTTTCTTGTTTTTAATTTTCTTTTTTTACTATTTTTTTTTTTTGCAGTATTTTGGGGCCATTGCTTCTTATGTTGTTCATTGCCTTCTTCCATGTTTTTAAAAGAAATACAGGTTTCAAAGAGTCAACATCGAATCAAGCTTTTACACAGCCTACCAATGTACAAGGTGGATGCGAAACACGATGACTGGTAATGTATTAAAAAGAAGTTATATGGGTCGGGCAGCACTAGCCCTCGAACGTGCATGTACTATAATTGAGTATCAAACTCAAAAGCTTCAAAAGGTTCAGTACATTTCCATGCATCAACTCCATAACCCCCATATTGTAGTTCATGGTCAGTACGCTAATCCCTGGAGCACTGCGGTGCCCCTGTTTTACACTGTTTGGTATAAAATATGAGTACTTATCACATCAGCACCAGCTATCGTCCACAGTGTTATTTTAATGTGTTTTTCCATACCTGGAGGGAAATTATGATAAAATATGAAAATCAACTGGAAGACACAGCAGACAGATAATCGACAGTAAACATATCCCTTTTTATTTCTGTCAGACTAATGCTATTGGTGTATGGTAATACAGTGTAGACCTTTCAAATCAATCCAGAGTCACGCACATGCAACTTTAATGTGACTTTGAGAAAAATAAATGCGGACATAATTTTCACCGTGATAAATTACCTGCCTCAAGTTTTCAGTCTCTCGCAAGTTCATTTTCTACACTGAGCGGTAATGACTGAAACCAGTGTCTGTGTGGAAAGCAGGAGTACACAAACAAATCTAAAAGACAACAGCATGCTTTGAAAAATGCTCTGCAGTAATGTGTTTTTTATTAAATGCCATGACACGTGCAAAAAGTGCTGTTTTTTGGTCCATTTAAAAGGCTGAAATAGAGAGAATGAGAGCACTGTTATTCTAACGTTATACATCTATGTGTTTCTCATCCACAGAAAGCATCAGGAAGATTATCGATAAATCATCTATCAAGTTTGTTCATGGGATTAAGCTAGACACCAAAAATGGCAAAACAGAGGACAGGATACTGGTGAGTCACTGCTTCTTTGGGTGTGTTCACTGAGGGCTGGGCTGTTTTTAATGGGCCTCTGTGTTACACTAACACCAGGTTGCTGATGTAGAAGAGCGTCAGAATCCTGCAACATAAGCAGTCTGATGAGTGCACCATGTATGTACAGTATCTTTGATGTTAACTCCCACTGCAGTGTTAATGGGTCTCTGCTACAGTGTTGACGTCCATGACAGCAGAGGCAGAGGCTCTCCATGATTCAACGGTGATAGTGAACGTCATTCACTGAAGGCGTTCTGACTGCCGCTGCTCTTCTGTGGCTGCTGTTGGCAGCTTGGCAGGATGAATATTGGATAGACAGTATCTGAGGGAGCGGCTGTGGATTCCTCTGGGTCTGCTCTGGAGGCAGTGGGGGGCTGAGCAGCTCACAGCCTTTGATTCTGGGGTGCTTTCATCAGAGAATATGGGACAGACAGAGATGTGAAATCTCTATTTGAGCGAGTGAAGCAGGATAAAATCTGGGGCAATCAGCTCTTACATTATGGACCAGACTGGACTTGGGAAGAATTCCTGTTTTTGCAGAATGCAGTGGACGTATATGTGCATGGAAACACACACACACACACACACACAGTGGTAACATATATACACAGTAAAGCACAGAGCAGGGTTTATTGATTGAGTGCGCCTTTAAGTGCAGCAGCTAAACCATGTCTGTATAAGCAAGATCTTATACAATCCCCAGTGAAGTCAGTGTGGTTTTTACACAGTTTATAAGACTGTTGCCCTTCCTCCAATCGAAGATTCGCCTCAACTGAGCAGCGCTTCCACTCAGTGAACGCTTTAATGATTTGTCATGTGGCGAGCATGGTTTGGAGAGTTTCTGCATGTACGGCCTTTGATATCCAGACACTTTGATATCTTTATCTGTCAGAAACATCTTTCCAATAATCTCTTTCCAATCCATGTCTCATTTACTGCTTCCTCTTAAAAGCCGAACTGGAAAGAGTTCCCGCTCCTGCTGGGCGCGCACAGAAGACGGAAAAATAGATTGGAGTTTGATCAAACGCACTGGGCTAGCTTTTTGGGGGGAGCCTAAACATGTTAAGGTTTTGAATCGAAGCTTCTTTAAGGTTGCGATCTGTCACTGCAGGTTACTTGAATTATCTTGATTTCTCACAGAGGCCTCACCTAAAGTGTCAAACAAGGGAAGATTAGAATATCTGTACTGTAGCGGCCCTCCTGCATAATTACACGCCACAATGAGCATGATGTGTGTGTGTGTGTGTGTGTGTGTGTGGTCTCCCTTTGATGTGAATACTTGGGTAAGTCTCTTTCTCTCCTGCTGCATCAGCATCATTTACTCCTGTTTACTTGTGTGCTCTCTCTTAACTACCACCCATAACCCCGACTCATCACTGTAATGTGATACAATCTGGTCTTCTTAATCAACTCGTTCAGACAGTCTTTGAAGTGAAACGCAGATCCTCCTATCTCTCTCCCACCCTCCATCTCACATGCACATTTTGAGTGACTACATCTCCGACACCTCACTTGCTGTGTGGGTGTAAGAGGCTGTCAGTGTGTGGTTCTGACAGGCCTGTGTCAAGCTCCTCTTTTCAGAAAAAAAAAAACAAAAAAAAAACCCCACAAACAGCGAAGCAGGAGAGCTGTAATTTAATTACTGTGTTTCATTGGGGAGAGGCACATGGAGGGGGGAAGCTTTGTCCTGAGGGAGTGTTTTAGCGGGGCCATCGTAGAAAATGGAGTAAATGATTGGGAGCGACGGAGCAGAAGAGGAGAAGAAAAAGAGCAGAGGGCAGTACTCAGGGGCTGGTGGAGAGCAGCGAAATGCCAAAGAATCACTGCTCTTTGTTTGTCTTGATGGAGAGAGACACTGACTTTTTTAGGGTGTGCTTGCAAAACAAACAAACAAAAAAAAAACAACAACAGCTGCATGACACAAATGTTAAGAATAAGAGATGGAGATGGAGATGCACAAATAAGCTCTCTGTTTGCTTTCAGATTGCCAGTCACGTCCAAACTCTCATCAACTTTGCATTGCACTAAAAATTATCCCACGCACTTCAGACTGCAGACGGCAAATTAGCGGAGGTAGTGTAGCAAAAATGCTAATTTGGCACCCTGACCCAACATGACAGGCATTTCAGGCTCTGGAACAAATCCCATGACTTAAAATGTGGAGGCAAACATCATGATTTACTACTGAAAATGGGCAGCTCTGTACTTTCAAGGTCCAGTGTGTAGGATTCAGGTTGTTATACTGGCAGAAATGGAATGTAATGTTATCTTTAGTTTATAATCCCCTGAAAATAAGAGGCGTTGTGTTTTAGTCACCTTAATGAGCCGTTTATATCTGCAAAGGGAGCGGGTCCTCGTCCAAAGAGTCCACCATATTATACTGCCATGTTCCTACAGTAGCCTAGAACAGACTAACCAAACACTGGCTCTAGATGGGGCCATTTTTGTATTGGCCACTCACGTTAGTAGCCCCTCCCTGACAAACAGCATTGGAAAAACTTCTTTTTTTTTTTTACATGAAACGGCTTTATCCAGTGTTTTTACTCGTTTAAATTACGGTATCCGTTTGTTTTGGAGAAGAAGAGACCTCTGCAGATAGTTCAGCTCCCAGTAAAAACCTTCTGAATGTCTGTTTCTTGAGTTATCAGAGAAAAAAGGTGAGCGCACATTAGTCTGTGATGAGCTAAACAGCATCGGAGAAAAACTCATTTTTACATGAAACTGCTGTATTCTGTGTTTTTACCAGAGTAATACACCATGTCCATTTGTTTTGGAGAAGCAGAGACCTCTGTTTTTTTTCAACGAGCAGAACAGTGTCGCAGAAAACACTGATTTGTAACGTGAAACTGCTTTAGTGTTTGTACCGGATTTAACTGACCGGTCTGTTTGTTTTTGAGAGAAAGACACCTCTGCGATAATTTGTCTACTGATAAAAACCTCCTGAGCAATGAACAATGAAGAAACCCTAACCAGTAGCTCGAGCTTGCTCCACCGGAAGACCTTGAGCTCGTTGCAATCGGCAATCTTCACCTCTATGTGCGACTACATTCTGCACACTGCTCCTTTAGATTCTGATATTAAAGATCTGGGCAGATGCTGAATGGCCAGGAATTATTGCCTGTTAAGCCCGGAGCCCCTGCATGTCTCAAATTTAATAAATGAGCCACTTTCATGTTTGCCCACAGCAGACGTAATGTAATGCTACTGAAATTACATCTCGTATTTGCGAGAATGTGATTAAAGCGTCGCAACATGCCGTCATCTCTCAGCGTGTATGTCAATCTATTAATGTTAGACAACATGTCTCAGACATGAGAGCTTTTAGCCGGATCAATGCATGAATATGGAAAGGACTCCTCATTTTCCTCTCATCATTACCATGGAAACTCCCGGGACTATTTTCTCCCCACGGGGAGTGTGACTGTGCAGTTAACTTTTCCGTAATCCGTAAGTCAGTTTACTGTATTCTCCTTTTTCCAGGTCCTAACAACATGGCGTCTGTATTTTCTGGCTCCAAAGATTCCGGCTAAGGTACTTCTTCCTGCTCTGTGTCTCCAGTCACTGCACAGCATGAAGCTTTCTCTGTCACAACGTCAGCTGACATCTTTACTTTGTATCTGTAACAACAGGTAGAATCGACATTCAACTTCTTGGAGATTCGAGCTTTGAATTCCCACCCTGAGCACCAGGTGAATTTTAACATTAATGCTGAACTCTGTGTGCACTCAGCTCCACTGTTGCAGCTAATTGTTTGTCTGCACTGTTGTATAATGGAGTGGTTACATCACCTTGTCCTTCAAAGACTGACAAAAAGCATTTATCAGAACAGATCCAGCGACAGTTAATGCTCTCTGAATAATTTGTTGTCTTCTGTTGTTGACGGTGATGGAAACTGCTAAGGGACTGTATGAAAATTAGTAGGGGTTGGTGGAGTGGTCAGAAATGGGAGATTTCTAATTTTATTAAATTTCTTGGGGAGAGCATGGAAAGGTTTTGTTCCTTTCAACATTTTTAATGGTGAAAGGAACAAACTCACGACTATATTTTGGGATTTTGAGTGGAGTGAGTTTTGTACTTTTTTAAGGGCTTGTTAAAATATCAATATTATATTGATATCATGACATGAGACTAGATATCATCTCAGATTTTGGATATCATAATATCGTACAAGTTGTCTTTTCCTGGTTTTAAAGGCTGCATTACAGTAAAGTGATGTGATTTTCTGAACTTACCAGATTGTTCTCGCTGTTGTATTATTTGCCTCTACCCACTTAGTCATTCTAATTCCCAATGATTATTTATCAGAACGTCTGATTGTGTAAATATTTTATGAAAGCATCCCTACAATATCGTTGCAATATTGATGTCGATGTATTTAGTGAAAAATATTGTGGTATTTTGGGCGCCCACTAGCTCACCTGGTAGAGCCTCACCTCACTCACAAAGGCTGAGTCTTTGCCGCAGCAGCCACAGGCTTAATTCCATCCCACAGCCCTTTGCTGCATGTCATTCCCACTCTCTCTCCCCATTTCGTGCTTTAACTGTCCTAGCAAAGAAAGCCACAAAAAATATCTTTTAAATATTGTGGTATCTAATTTTCTCCATATTGCAGCCCTACATCAAAATATTAGTAATGCTGGGAAGGGAGCTTTTTTAAAGTGAGACAAAAGATTCAACGCCCTCCCTACTCCAATAATTTCCATACTGTCCCTTATGGCTACATTTTCTGTGCAGGTTATCATCGACACTGACAAGTCCAGCTACTCCCTGAGGTTTGAGTCACGCGAAAACCTCAATCATGTGGTCAGCCATATTAATTTCGCTTTGTCTCGAATATTCAACAACTCCATTTTTGCGTAAGTGTCAAAGATAAAAACATCTGAATGAATCACATATCTGTGCAGTGCTAGATAATCACAAAGCTTTAAAAAAAACGACCTTTATTTATACAATTAAAGCTAAGATTAATGATTCCATATCTTTGTTTCTTTCATCTCTGCAGCCCTTCCATCTGTCATTCAGACAGTGACCTTTCTGAGGGCAGCAGGAAGTATTCACCCAGCTCAGAGACTTCAGTGGAAACCCAGAGGGCCTGTGGTAAAAGAGACATTATCATCAAACATGGGAATTTGCACACATGCATACACGTGCAGTCACACACACACACACACACACACACACACACACACACACACACACACACAGACGGGGGCACAGCCACACCACTTGGCAGCCTCGAGAGGAAGTTGGCTCACACACTTCCCAAATGGTCCCCCAGATGTTCTTTTTAAAGTGCTCTGTCACACAAATAAAAGATTGATAATTTGGACAAATGTTTCTGTGTGCATTTCCCTCCCTTTTCTCTCCTGTTATCGCTGAAGGAAGCAGCTGTTCACATCATCTCAGATTCATTTTTTCTCTCTCTCTGTTCTTTCCTCCCGCCTGCCTCTCTCAGGAGGCTTCTCAGAGACATACGCCGCTCTGTGCGACTATAATGGCATCAGCTGCAAGGAGGAAGTGCAGTGGGTAAGAGCTGTGGGACTGTGCCTGTGTCGCTGTGAGTGCTTTTGAGTGTTACGTACAGCACTGTGCACAAAATGAGGGGGTCATATGCTGCTGCAAACAGGCTCATGGGTAATGTTGCTCTTAGGACGTGGACACCATCTATCACTCCCAGGACAACCGAGAGTTTAATCTGCTGGACTTCAGCCACCTGGAGAGCAGGTGAGGGACGGAGAGCGGTCAAACACTGTTACCTCCAAAATATAAAACCTCACTCACCATAGTTTCATCTTTTCCAGGGATCTGGCGGTGATTGTCGCGTCGATGGCATACAACACCTGGTTCACTAAACTGTACTGCAAAGACCTGCGGATAGTAAGTACTATGTTTGCTGTGCTTATATTGGGAGGTTAAAAGAGGCTTTAAAGGGACCGTTCACCCCAAAATGAAAGTACATATTTTTTCTCACACCTGTGATGCTAGTCATCAATCTAGGGCTAGTTTTTTGAGTGTTGGAGATATCAGCCGTAGAGATGTCTGCTTCTCGCCAATATAATCTAACTAGATGGCACTCGGCTCATGGTGCTCAAAGAGCCAAAAAAAAAAACATTTGAAAAACTCACCAGCAATGTCTCTTTCCAGAAATCATGACCCGATTACTCAACATAATCCGCAGACCTTGCTGTGTGTGGTTTCATGTGGGAACTGTTTTCTTTCTACTGATCTACACCCGCCAACAGTGTCACTGTGCAGAAGGAAGCATGCATCTACTACCTACAAGCTGAGTTACATCTAGCTCCATTATATGTGAGAGACAGGCAGACATCTCTACGGCCGATATCTCCAACACTCGGCAACTCATACCAAAACAATCTAGATCTATTTCAGGGTGAAGTGTCCCTTTAAGTGCCTTACAACAAGAGTAGTATGGGCTCAAACCTTGGCCCTCCTGTGTGGAGTTTGCATGTTGTCGCCGTGTTAGTGCAGGTTTTCTCTAGCTTCCTCCCACAGTCCAAAGACATGCAGGTTAACTGGTAACTTAAATTGCTGTAGGTGTGAATGCGAGCTTGAATGGTTGTTTGTCTCTATGTGTCCAGAGTGTACTCCACCTCTCACCCTGTGTCGGAAAATAGATGGATGTCTTTTCAGCAAAAACAAGTGAAATGTTTAGTGTTGATGTTTCCTTTTTCCTTCAGGGGTCAGAGGTCACTGAGCAGGTCCTGCACACAGTCAGCAAATCGTCCAGCCTGGAGGAGATCACTCTGGAGAACGCTGGATTAAAATCGTGAGTTTGTTCCCTCTGGCACCTCTTTTGCTTCTTATCCATTCGATCCCACACAAGTATTAACAGTTGTATGATGTCCTCTTTGGCTCTGAAGGACACTTTCTTGAGTCTGGAAAAGAATTTGCATGATGTCATCTGGCTTGTCTCAAATTGGGTTTGAGACTTTGAATTTTAAACAAAGCCTGTGTCACAAACGGGGCGAGGTGCATTATTCTACTGAGACCCGAACTTTTGTTTGGTATGCGTTTATAATTTCTCGTAGCTATTTGGAATCAGTAGGACGTGATAAGTACAAAAAACTGTCAACAATAATAAAGTCCCAGTGTCCTCAAACGAGTACCTCCTAATAAATAGTGTCTTACTTTGTTACTGTTGCTAAAATTGGGCAAATTTGTCGCCATATCAAACTACAAACATTATTAATCATAGCTAAACAAGTTTCAACCATAAAATGTGATCAGGTTTTTTTGACCTTGTCCACTTTTGTGAGGGATCCGCTGCAGACTGACTTGGCAGAGATGGCCGCCATATTTGTTTTTACATAGATTAGTGTATTGTGCTCTTACTACCACTAGATGGCACTAAAAATTGTCCACGAACGAGGACAACAGTAGTAGTAGTAGTAAGTAGAATGAAGTATAAGGTCAAGTAAACCCAAAATGTGATGTCCTCATATGAGGACACAGGGTCTCAGGGGGTTATGGGAAGTGTAGGATCCTGTGTTTTTAGACCAAACGTCGTGAAATCTCGGCTTCTGCTGCACAGGTTTGATCTTTTTTTTTATAACCTATCTCAATCAATTAAAGGTCACTGCTAAATCGCTACAGTACCTCTTTATAACGGCTTGTCTGCACTTAAAGAATATGTTTGTCTGTAATTAACTAAGGACCTATTTTACAGAGACTTTCCGCAGAAGATGTCAGCTGCTCTTTCAGAGAACCCTGCTTCTGTCATCCACTCGCTCAACTTGGCCCACAACTCACTGGACAACCAGGGTACAATAAACAACTTTGATTTCCTGATTTAATGTGATGGTAAAGAGAAGCACTATTATAGCTACACTTTTAAACCTCTTGTTTGAACGTTGCAGGTGTGTCCAACTTAATCCAGCAGGTGTGTCGCCTCAGCAAGGGACTGCGTCTCCTCAACCTCTCCAAGACCTCACTCACCTCCAAAGGTCTGTGCCTGTCTCTCTGTATTTCCTGTCCCTCGCTAATCAAGTTGAGCAATGTCAAAGTGTGACCACCATTTGCAGGACTTCCTACTACCTCACCAACATCAGGTGGATATTGGTTTAGTAAGACTCACAAAAGTCTTTGTAAAGCTTCAGCTGACTGATCTTGGGTTAGATTATTATTTAGGGAGTATAAACCCTCCAAAGCCCCAGATGATTCTCCCCGCTGAAGAGCTTTGTTTCATGATTTGCCCCTGCTACGACTCCATATTGACTTTTGATGTCTTGTGCTGCCCCGCAGGCAGCGTGCCTCCTGTTACCGTCTCATCTTACCGTGTACCCAGCGGAGAATTTAAATATTACATTGAAGCAGGCAGATACTATGCGCTGCTTCCCATTACATTCACTGATACCTGCTGCTGCAGATGTGTATGAATAATGTAAGGACTCAAAATGTTTTGAGAGTGTTCTCTCTTTCTTTTAATATTCTACAACAACCCCCTTTCTCTTCCTCCTCCTCCTCCTCCTCCTCCTCCTCCTCCTCCTCCTCCTCCCGTCTCTTTTTCCTTTTATCCATCTCTCTCCCTCTCAGGAGTGGTGTCTCTCTCTCAGGCTCTGTGCTCCAGCGATGAGTACTCCAACTCTCTCCTGCACCTGGACCTGAGCAAGAACCCCGGGGTCCTCTCAGGGGAGGATGCCTCGGTCAGAAAGCACAACCCATCTGGAAACAAAAACACACACTGCTCCATTTATATGCCACTTTCCCGGCTTAATATGACGTCTCTCTCTTTCTGTTTCCAGAACTTGTATCTGTTCTTGTCTCAGCCCAACTGCCTGGTCCATTTGGATCTGTCAGGCACAGATTGCTCTGTGGACTCTGTAAGTATTTAATGGCCGCGCGCGATCGAATGTTTATGCACAACATTAAAAAGAAATGCATTGCTCTCTGCTCAATGCTCAGCCCAGATTAACTGTCTCCACCCTGTCTCATGCAGCTATTTGGGGCTCTTCTGAGGGGGTGTTGCGCTGATCTTTCCTTCCTCAATCTTTCCAAAAACTCCTTCTCCCACAGGTTAGTCACCTCTTTAAGATTACCTGAACAATAAAGGCAGCTGCAAATCCAAATCTGGGAATATATCATCCTTATTTCGCCGTTAAATGCCTCATCTCTCCTCTCTCGTCCTCCCTCTTTCTTTTTTTTTGGCATTATCTTCAATTCTTGCCTAATGGGAAATCAGAAATGAGCTTTGTGGGAATCACTGCTACATTGTGCTTCCTCTCTGTGGGTGTGTCTACTGCCGTTTAAAACCAGAACTCCCGGAGCTGTCTGCATAGATAAGACTCATGAATATTTAAGCAGAAGCTATCTATCATTTGACCCCACTCGCTCCCCCCTCTTAACACCAAAGCAATATTCACTCTGTTTCTCATTCTGTGTCAGTACTCGGTGCTCAGCACTGCACTCATATTTACCCAGCATGTCAACAATGTCACTTCATCTCCTCTGTGTGGCCGGTATCATCCCATCCCACTCTCTCCATCATCCGCTCACTTCTACCTCTGCTCTCTTTCATCTTGTCTTTTCTTTATGCAACAGGAAAGTGAAGGACACGCTGCCGCTGTTCCGGCAATTCTTCAGCTCGGCCTTCAGCCTCACTTATGTCAGCCTGGCCTCTATGAAGCTGCCCCCTGATGTTCTGAGGTGCTTGTCGGCTCTTATTCTCTATCCAAATCTGCACCCTTTTATCCAAACTCCTTTACAATGAATAGATGTCCTCAGCTTCCCCTCCTTGTCTTTTTTCTGTCACTATCCTTCCTGTCTCCACAGGGCTCTCCTAACAGGGTTAACCTCCAATCCTCATATCAACGACCTTCATCTGGACATCAGTGGCTGTGAGGTAAGAGTTCATCTCTACATCTGCAGTGCATTCGAAGTTAAAGGGATAGTTCAGTGTTTTCTCCTTATACAGAGTGGGGGACATGCAGTTTAAATCTTAAGCTCATCCTGTCGGCTCAGATAAGGCTCAGTAAGATCGTGAGCTTGTGACATAATGTTCAGAGATGTGGCTCATTGTGAACCTGTGGAAGCAAATGCTTGAGACATGTAAGTTTGTGAATGTGTGGTCATTAAAAACGTTTATATCTGAATGAAACTGTGAGGTTACACAAAGACTGCTGCTTTTGGGAACATGTGAGACTCACAGCAGAACACTATGTCTGAAACACAAAGTTCCCACGCTGTCAGTGACACTGAAGTCTCACATAAACAGACACAATGAAGTCACAAGTACAACTGTTGGCCCTGATTTTACAGCTGAAGTCGAGGCCAAAAAAACCTCACAGTTCATATCATATGTGCAGTTTCTGTTAGAAATTTCTCAATGGCATTTAGAATTTTGAATTTGCAGAGTGTTTTCACAGGTTTACAAAGTGTGATTTACAACTACGGACCTGAGTTTTATATTTTTTATTCATTTTTATTTTGTTGTTATTTTTTGTTTTCAGTGCAGTCTTATTTCAATTTAGTTTTTATTAATTTCAGTTTTAGTTTAGCTTTTTTTTTATTAAAACATGATGGGTATTCTTCAGGGGAAAGATTTAGGAATTTCAGAATAAGTATAACAATACAAACACAGCACTTTGTAAAGGCAGTTGAATTGCAGTAATGTAAACCTCTCAGTCTCTATAAACATTTGCACAAATGTCTTCTCATACTTGTTGTGCTGACACATTTAACCAATTTGACAAAGACTAAAACTGAAGACATTTTCTGTATATTTTTATTTTATTTCAGTTTGTTTTGTTAGTACACAATATCATTTCAGTTGGTTTTCTTTTTTCTAAAGTCTAGTTTTTATTTTATTTCAATTAACAAAAATGTTTTTTTTTCACACCTAATTTTAGTTTTTATTTTAGTTTTTATTTTGTTGTTGTTGTTATTATTATTATTATTATTATTATTATTTCCTTTATTTTAACTTGGAAATACGTTGAGGTAGAGACCTCATTTACAATGTAGCCAAGTAAAATAATAATAATTTTTAAAAAAAAGCCAAAGTGAAACTTACATAAAAGTGGCAACAAGAAGTAAAAACAATAAAAACCACAAGAAACTATAGTTAAATAAATTATAATATAATATAGTAATAACCTTGCCACAGACAGATATATTGATTGACCATTTTGAACCCATATTAGCTGAACTCAGTGCAAAAATATGGAAGAAAAATCACTGATTCAAAATGTAAGGGATTATTATCAGCTACATTTATTTAAAGTTAAAGCCCTGACCATGCAGCAGAATGGCCCCTGTGGTATTATTATATATATACATAATAACAGATTATACTTTGAAGCGTTAATGTGTAAGCAGTATTTTAATGTTGCGGCTAGGTAAGGTGGAGTTTTCAGTTACTTCATATACACCAAAATAAAATAAAAAAACAATTTCTATCTGTAAACCAAATAGTAGCTGTAGTTCTCAAATGAACATAGTGGAGTAAAAGCACAGGTGTTGTTGCTTAAAATTAAGTTATTTCCCAGAGCACACAAAGTAGAGGGAAATATCTAAAAGCCTTTACTGTAGGGATGGGAATCACTAAAAGACCCAAGATATGATATTATCACGATATGATATTATTGCGATATTGCAATATGCTGAGTATTATGATACAATATATTTTATATATATTCCTCAACTTTATGCCTCACTTCTCTGTAAAGCTTGGTACGGCTGGGTTGGTGAAAAAACGTCAGGACGGAGTCACATACTGACTGAATATGTAACAAAAGCTTTCACTTTCAGCAACGCTAGCTTAGCTTGGCTTTCAGCAGCTAATGCTATCCCTGGATGGTGCAGTGTGACGTGAGCCCGCATGTTCGTAGTATTCCCAGAGTATTTTCTTCTCATACATTCTCTGAACCCATCGGCTGTATTCGGCGTCTGACTTCCAGCAGACGGCGATACAGCCTCTGGGGGCAGACCCCCGATTTTTTGGCATTCCAGTTTGAGGAGGCGAATTTCCGTTTCCTACTTCCATTTATATATAAGTAAATATGATGAACCATTGCGATGGATTCAGAGTTTGCAGTGACACCAATTATGTTCCGCCTCGTTAGTTCACCACACGGACCATTTAACCTGGCAACAATTGCAGCCGGCTCAAATGTGATTGGTCAATATCACGCGGACTACAAACAGCCTACAACCGGAAACCAGGGCTCTTCTGCTCTTCTTCCGAAGTCAAGATCTCAGGGGTTTGCCTACAGACTCTACATTCACTGAATGTAGAGTCTGTATATAGAGACTACTTCTCATATGACACTGCTTGCAAATTGCATGTATCATATCCATGTCCCCCTTTCCTTGAGTATTAAAAAAAAAAGACATTTGATTTAATTGCTGCCGGGGCATTTCTGATTTCTTTCCCCGGTGCCTCCATCTTAGTTTTGATGAACTTCCTGCCAAATGCTGCAGACTGAGACCTCTGCTGACCTCACCAGGAAAAAAATACTCAGCGCCATCGAGTGGACTGAAAAAGCAACTCATTTTATTATTCTAGTACCAAAAGTTATATTAAAATGTGTATTTGCAAAAATTGATAATGTATAGAAGACTGATACTTGGCGCCTGTGTATCGATACAATATCGCCACACTAAATATCGTGATACTATGCTGTATTTTGGGGAAATATTGTATTTTCCCCACCCCTATTTTACTGTAGCGGCCAAATAATAAAAGCGCCAACATGTTTGGACCACTGTAAGTCTTCATCAGTAGGTCTCCATATGACCAGGATAACAACATGACCTGAACTGAAACTAATGAAACTGAAAATAATGAAAACATAAGGTGAGATTACACAGAAGAAAAAAATTATATGCATCATAAATGGAGGATGGGTACCAGTATATAGGTTTTACCAGGCTGTGAGAAAATCAATGAAGCCTTTAAAAGGAAAAGAGGCAACACGAAAGTTTCTGTGTTCTGTCTCTCCTCTGACCAAAGGCTTGTAGGGGATGTAGGGGATGGGACAGAATACAGAAGCTTAGCCAAAGGGAAACTTTCTGAATCCATTGCCTGGATGTGTTTAAGTACCCTGGTCTTAATAAGGATATAGACTTCATGTGTTTTCTGTAACTTGCCTCTGATCTCTAAAAGTTAAGTTAGGTAGTTAAGGAGAGATGAAGTTAAACATTTTCACTTTGAAGCAGGTCAATTCAGTTAAATCAAACTCCCAGTTGGTTTCTGTTTATGTGCACCAGAAACAGCTCTTCAAGATATTTATTTATTTGTTTATTTACTTCTTTAAGCAAAAAAAAAGCTAACAAATGGAAGATGATGTTTTCCCTACCACTGAGCAGAGCTGCTGCAGATCACAAGCGAGGCAGAGCTCACCGTTCAGCAAACCCTCACACTGCTTGCAGAGACATAAAAAAGGCATTCATAAATCTGCCTCGCTGTGGAGAAATAGAACAATTCCCCACAGACTAAACCTAAAATGACTGGGATTCATGCCTGTGCATATGTTGGTTTTCCCGTCTCTCTCTCTCTCTCCAGCTCAAGTCTGCAGGAGCTGCTGTAATCCAGGAACTCTTCCCCAGAGTCTCCTCTATCGGCACTCTGGATATCTCCGACAACGGTAGGATGGCACGCTGCAACACATCCCACTGTGACCTTGACTCTTTGTCCTCAGGCAGGAGAGGTTTTAGTGGGCTGTTAATGAATTGAACCATGTTGAGCTCTGTGTGTGTGTGTGTGTGTGTGTGTGTGTGTGTGTGTGTTGACAGGTCTCGATGGAGATTTGCTCACTGTACTGCCGGCCCTCTCCAGACACCCCTCCCTCAAACACCTTTATCTGGGCAAGAACTTCAACATCAAAAACAGGTGCTGCTGGTGCTCTATATCACGCTTTACTGCAGTTATCCATGTGTGTGTATGTGTGTACGTAAGCAAGAGGGCATGTGTACTGCATATGCCAGCTCGAATATACGTGTCTGTGATTTAACTTCCGTTTTCATAAGTGGCTGCCGCTCCCCGGGCGGACAGCTCGCTGGCAGCAGGAAATGACTCGCGCCAGCTCACCCAGCCTCGTCTCTGCTTGTCTGCAGGGTTCTGGATGAAGTCCTGCAGAAGCTGGTTCATCTCATACAGGAGGAGGAATGTGTGAGTGATAACGCAGAACATTTTCTCACTCTTAAAAACATACTGCAGGATGCAAATTTATCAGTTTGCTGGCACTGGTTTTGCTTCATAATAAATCATCCAAATAGAAATAGATCAGCTGCAAAGACACAGAAAAAAATAACATATTTTAGTTCCTAGTTCCAAGATAATAAATCTGTCAACACAGGGTTCCTGGACACAATATGCACACGGGAACATTCGTTAAGGGTTGCATGCACAGTACAAATGTGCATGTGCTTACACAGGAGCTACAGGAAAACTGCTCAGACATACATACATCAGCTCCATGAGCCCTTAGTCCAAACAATATGTACTCTTTTCCCTCAGACACAGTTTCTCTCTGGACTATATGTGCCAAAATTTCTAATATATAATTTTAAATGGTGCTGGACATCCAGTTGTCTCTTCACTGAAGCCACTAATGTGCCCTGGGCAAATCATACATCAGTTTGTCGTCCGCTCTATCATTAGCTCCATCTCAATGGCGATGCCCCCATAGTGCAAGTCTCTCATGTCCAAGGCATTTTATAGATATAAAAATCAGCTAAAAAACTGTCCTGACACTTTCTGGTTCTCTAATCAGCCTGCCTGTGCCATTGATTAGCCTCTGCTAACACAAATCTCCATGGATGTGTTAATAGAACTGGATACAGTGTTGACAGCGAGGCCCTGTTTGTTCCTAGAAAATATGTTCAGTGGCGCATAAAGCCAAAAAATTCCTGGGCATAAAATTACCCACATCTTCCGCATCACGGAGCCCATAGAGCAAGCGTACCAGAGACATTCGCCAGCCAAGCGGCTAAGTCGATCGTGTGGCTCTTCTAGACTTTCAAACTGTGATCAAACCAAATGGATCAAATTCTGATGCTGAAAGGAGTCATTTCGCAGGGGTTGTGATGCTCAAAAAAAAATGTATCCACAGGTTAACAGACATCTCCTTCACAATCTGGGCCCCTATGTCCAATTGGTTTCTTTTTGTCATATATTTTCTGACAAGTACCTATGTTCTGTTAAAATTTAAAGGAAAACTTAGTTATGTTTTAACCTGGGCCCTAATTTCCCATGTTTTTGTGCCTGGAAAATTTGGAACAACAGTTTTTGAAATTGGCCCAGTATTGAGGAAGACTGTGAAACAGGCTGCAGTGTAATCACTGTGAGCAATCGTGCACCGTCAATTTACGTCAACTAAAAGTGCTTGTTTTTTCCTCTGACAGGCTCAGATTGCTTTAAGTATCTGACAACATAACAGAAAGGATCCCTGCAGAGAAATGAAACATTTTTCTTCACCTTTAGCTGATACAGTCTGTTTGCTATTGTGTGTAGCCAAGTTCGCTCAAGGAGAAGTCTCATTCTGAAACCTCAAGGACTTTTTCACATTCAGCTCAGAATCAGCTAAATATTCAGCCATGACAGTCACAATATCTTTAGTAACACTAAGCTACACTTTCACATTTTGTCAGTCAGCTTTGGCGAAATTTCAAATCGAGACGTCTCCTTGAGCGAGACTTGGTCACAATAAGAAACAGACGAAAGGCGAAAGGTACAGAAAAACATTTGATTTCTCTGTAGGATCTTTTCCATAATGTTGCCAGACAATTCTTATAACAGTCTGAGCCTGTTAGCGAAAAAAAATCACTTTTAATGGAGTGTTTGTTCCCATTAGTCACTTAAGGTGCTTTCAGTCGAATTCAAGTTATTTTGCCCCCTCAGTGCGGTTCGTTTGGGCACTAGTGTGTGCACCAAAACAACCGGACTGAGACCTTCTTGAAGAGGTGGTCTCAGTCCGGTTACAAACAAACTCTGGTGCGGTTGGTTCGTGGTGAGAAGGTGTTCTGACCTGGATCTGAACCAACTGCAGTCACATGATAGCCTGAGTGTCAGACTGAAGCTCCCAGAACCTTCAGTCTGACATCGCCTCCATTGAAGGGGATTTACAAGGGGGAGGGAATTTGATTTTTCCCTAACCAACCAGTAGAGATCAACGACTCACCCAGAATCTGACATCATTAGTATCCATGCCTCGGGGGTGCCAAAAACAAGTGAGCATTGCCCGTTTAAAATGTCTCCGTCGTCGTGCACGCCCAGCTGCATCGCCGTTAAATCCAGTTTATCAGCTTCCTTAATTTGGTCCTCCATTAACGTGAGTAGTGGCGAAATACCTCAATAGCATCGTTAATGTGGTCTGTAGGATCTGTAGCAGTCGCCATTGTTGCTATCCTCACCAGTTACCCACTGGCGTACAGTTTGACATCAGCGTGGTGCTGATTGGCTAATCGCTAGACCCGCCCCCACCCCCGGCGTTCATTGGTCCTTCCATCTTTTGGACGAGATAAATCGCAAATTCATTGCAGTATGCCAGACCAGAGATGCAAGCCTACTCAGTTGAGTGGGCGGGGTCTATGGTCTGGAACCAGGCTAGTCACATGACACATTGTTTGGGTTAAACATGAGCATGTTACAGTCCTGGAGGATTATTAATGTGCACCTCCTCCTGTACTGCCTTAATATGCACATTCAGCACATCCAATGCATCAAAACATTGTTTTCTAGTTGGAGCCGCGCCTCGTTTTCAAACTGTATGGTTTGACTAAAATGAACAATGACAGCAATATAGTCCACGATGAGCAG